CTAGAGTTGTCGGTAGAGCCTCCGATCACGCTCCCACTGTGGCCGAACCTGATCTCCCAGGACCACGGATGACTCTGTCACCCCAACCTGCAGAAGCTCCACCTTACAGCGTGGATGCTGCATGGCTAACTTGGGCGGAGTTGCTCTGCTCACAATCCGTGCAGCAGGTTCTGTTAGGCAGCAGGAAACCCTCCACACGGGCAACCTACTTAGCCAAATGGAAGCGCTTCTCCGGTTGGTGCGAGCAGCGCGCCACGCCCCCCTTGCAGGCGTCAGTCCAGTATAAGTGGTATCATCTCCTATCCCTAAAGCAGCAGGGCCTGGCAATATCATTTGTCAGGGTGCACCTGGCAGCTATCTCGGCGTTCCATCCAGGAGAACATGCTTCCTCAGTCTTCTCTAACCTGATGGTCATCAGATTCCTAAAGGGCTTAGATCGCCTATACCCACAACTGCGTCAACCGGTCCCAGCGTGGGACCTTAACCTGGTCCTCTCCAGGCTCACGGGGCCCCTGTTCGAGCCAATGGCTACCTGCTCACTCCTTTACCTATCTTGGAAGACAGCCTTCCTCGTAGCCATCACTTCAGCAAGGCATGTTTCTGAAATCAGAGCCCTCACGTCAGAACCTCCATATACAGTCTTCCATAAAGACAAGGTGCAGCTTCGCCCCCACCCTGCCTTTCTCCTCAAGGTGGTATCAGCTTTTCATGTGAACCAGGATATCTTCCTCCCAGTCTTCCACCCTAAGCCGCAAGCTACGTGGCAAGATCAACGTATGCACTCTCTGGACGTGCACAGGGCCATCGTATTCTGTATCGAGCGTACGAAGCCGTTTAGGAAGACGACTCAACTATTCGCTGCAGTGGCTGACCGGATGAAAGGCCTACCGGTCTCCTCGCAACGTATCTCCTCTTGGATCACATCCTGTATTTGTGCTTGCTACGACTTGGCCGGTGTCGCGACGCCACACCTCACTGCCCACTCCACGAGGGCTCAAGCCTTCTCGACCACTTTCCTGGCCCAGGTTCCAATCCATGAGATCTGTAGAGCGGCGGTTTGGTCATCCGTTCATACCTTTGCCGCTCACTACGCGTTAGTACAGCAGTCTAGAGACGATGCTACATTTGGCTCAGCAGTTCTGCACTCAGCGATGTCTCACTCCGACCCCACGGCCTAGGTAAGGCTTGGTAGTCGCCTAATTGGAATCGATATGAGCAAGCACTCGAAGAAGAAAAAACGGTTACTCACATTTGTAACTGTTGTTCTTCGAGATGTGTTGCTCATATCCATTCCAAACCCGCCCTCCTTCCCCACTGTTGGAGTAGCTGGTAAGAAGGAACTGAGGGGGCTCTGGGTTGGCTGGGGTATGTATCCAGCGCCATGAAGGCGCCACTCCAGGGGGCTCCACAGCCGACCCCACCGGGTGTTGCTAGGGTAAAAATTCTCCGACGATTGTGCACACGGCACGCACACACCTAATTGGAATGGATTTGAGCAACACATCTGGAAGAACAACAGTTACAAATGTGAGTAACCGTTTTTTCCTCACCCTCGCCTCGCCGATCGCTCAACAGGGGCAGTCAGCAAACTCAGGCCTCGACGGGTCTGCCCTGGTCGCCAGAAGGGCAATGGTCTGAGTCGAACCGGGAGTTCAGCACCTCACCAACAAGGGGTGATTTGCCGCTGACTTGTGAAACTGGCGTGGCACCTGCAGCGACAATGGCCCGCTCAATGGCTGTATTAGAATCCGTGGGGCATGCCAGTAATGCTGGTCCCGTTCCCACCAGCCCTCCCTGGCCACCTCAGACAAACTGGCCCCAGCACCGCCAGCACCAGAGTCGGAAGGTAATGCCGAATCCGATGTGGGGACAGCGCCCCAAACCTCAGCACCAAAGGAGCCGTCCCTGGAGAGCGAGGGGAAACCTGCTCCTCCACAGGTGGTGCAGTCGTTGTCATTGTCCCTGGACGAAGCAGTTGCGGGTCCCTCCCAAAAGCGCCATCCCCCCCCAATGACTTCAAGGAGCACCAGGCCCTCCTTAAAAGGGTGTCTGGTGGCACCTTAAAGCCTAACAGATTTATTTGGGCATAAGCTTTCGTGGGTAAAAACCTCACTTCTTCAGATGCATAGAGTGAAAGTTACAGACGCAGGCATTATATACTGACACATGAAGAGCAGGGAGTTACTTCGCAAGTGGAGAACCAGTGTTGACAGGGCCAATTCAATCAGGGTGGATGTAGTCCACTCCCAATAATAGATGAGGAGGTGTCAATTCCAGGAGAGGAAAAGCTGCTTCTGTAATGAGCCAGCCACTCCCAGTCCCTAGTCAAGCCCAGATTAATGGTGTTAAATTTGCAAATGAGTTTTAGTTCTGCTGTTTCTCTTTGAAGTCTGTTTCTGAAGTTTTTTTGTTCAATGATAGTGAGTAGTTGCTGGTGAACACACCACAGAAACACCAACCTAGGAACCAATCCCTGTAGCAAACCTCATTGCCTACTCTGTCCCCATATCTACTCTGGCGACACCATCAGAGGACCCAACCACATCAGCCACGCAATCAAGGGCTCATTCACCTGCACATCCACTAATGTTATATATGCCATCATGTGCCAGCAATGCCCCTCTGCCATGTACATTGGCCAAACCACTGGTTCTCCACTTGTGAAGTAACTCCCTGCTCTCCATGTGTCAGTATATAATGCCTGCATATGTAACTTTCACTCTATGCATCTGAAGAAGTGAGGCTTTTACCCACAAAAGCTTATGCCCAAATAAATCTGTTAGGCTTTAAGGTGCCACCAGACTCCTTGTTGTTTTTGTAGATACAGACTAACACGGCTACCCCCTGATACTTAAAAGGGTGGTTGCTAACTTGAACCTACAGATTGAGGAGGTCGCGGAGGAGTTAGACTTCTTTAACGTTGTATCCTTCTCCACCCTGGCCCAGGTCACGCTGGCTGTCCAGGCCCATAACTCTGGTTTTTGCTCTAGACTCAAACTTTAAGGTCAAATTTTGTCTAATTTCTAGCTTAAATTTATTGATGGCTAGTTTATATCCTTTTGTTCTTGTGCCAACATTGGCCCTTAATTTCAATAACTCCTGTCCTTCCCTGGTGTTTATGCCTCTTATATATTTATAGAGAGTAATCATATCTCCCCTCAGCCTTCTTTTGGTTAGGTTAAGCCAAGCTCTTTAAGTCTCTTCTCATAAGGTAGGTTCTCTATTCCACTGATCATCCTAGTTGCCCTTCTCTGCACCTGTTCCAGTTTGAATTAATCTTTCTTAAATGGGGGGCCAGAATTGCACACAGTATTCCACATGAGGTCTCACCAGTAGCTTTTATATTGGTAATAACACTTCCCTATCTCTACTGGAAATACCTTCCCTGGTGCATCTTAGCATTGCATTAGCCTTTTTCACAGCTGCAATCACATTAGCAGCTCATAGGCATCCTGTGATTAACCAATACACCCATGTGTTCCTCCTCAGTCACTCCCAAATGATACATCCCCAGTTTATAGCAACAATTCTTCTTGTTCGTCCCTAAGTGCATGACTTTGCATTATTAAATTTCATTCAATTTCTATTATTTCAGCTTTCCAGGTCATCCAGATCTTCTTGTATGATATTCCTGTCCTCCTCCGCATTGGCAGTACCTCCCAACTTTGTGCCATTTGCAGATTTTATTAGCACACTCCCACTTTTTGTGCCAAGGTCATTAATGAAAATGAAAAACAATCCTTGAGGAACTCCACTAGTAACCTCCCTCTAGCCTGACAGGTCACCTTTCAGCATGACCATCAATAGACAGTGGAGAGTTATTCAAAGCAAATCCTCCTATACATCCTTCATCTCCTCCAGCCTGTAACCAGAGCACTTTTCCATCTGCTCATGAAGAGAAAATGTAGCCTTTATTCTTTGATGCAGGACCTTGCTGCTATTACCTCTGCTTTTGTCACTCAGATTAAGGGGCTGCAATGCACTCTACATGGACCAGCCAGAACATAAGCTGGAGCAGAATGCGTTTGCCCACTTATTAACTAGAGTTTCTGACCAGGACCATGTTGCACCAGTGCTCTGGGTTCCAGGCTGACTGCCAATGCATTTCTGACTAGATGTTGAGGTATTGGGTTCACCTGTGAAGCTCTAAATGGTTAGGGACCTGGTTCCTGAAAGGAACACTTACTGTCACATTGGCCATCAGCAGCTGTGCTTCAGGCTGGAGCTCCCTTTTTACACCTGGGGGGAGCTGCTAGCAGGGTGTTCTCTGTGTGGGACCCTTTCCCTTTGGAATTTGCCTCTCCCTTGGCTGCCAGAGTCCGGATTTGTTAACCTGCCAAGCCCATCTTTTTTCCCAGGCTCCTAAGAAGGGGATGGGGGCAGGGTTTCAGTTTATTTTGTTATCCTGTTTTTAGCTGGTGCATATTTAGTGCCAAGGGGATGAGCATTTTATATTGTGAATTACCAATTTAGGGGAGCAGTGCCTATTTGTGGAAATTGTCAGTGGTGAATGCTGGAAGTTTTGGCTGCTGGGTAGGGGCATTTTGGTCCTTTGGGAACCTGAGAGCTTGTTCATGGCATTTTTGCACTGTGGACTTAACACATTAGCTGGCTATATCTGCTAAAATGATCAGCAGTGAAATAACTGATACTGTTAACTTTTAAACAAGTATCTTTAGGTTACAGAATTAACAACCCATTGTGCCAAATGGGATAGCTCACACTTTTCAGGACACCGTTTTGGGTTATCTGTAGAATCAAGACTCAATTGTGGATTGATTTACACTTGATGTACATTTTAAAAGTCTCCACAAAACCATGGGGCTAGAAACATCGTTTAAATGAGAGACTCTGGAGCACAATGCTGCAGCCAGCAGGGAATTTCATGGCAAATTCTATGGCTGTGGAATTGCAGAACACAGACCTGTTACTAATGCTCCTTTTGCGTCCCCGTTGCCTATTCCGGAGCACTATGCTTTCACTTTGTTTCGCTTTCCTAGGTTCTGGAGAAGGAAGCTAAGATTCAGGAGCTGCAGGAGATAATCACAGACCTTCACCATGAAATTTCCCTGAAGGACTCAGAGGCAGTCAATCAACTGGAGGAGAAGCACCTGCTGGAGACCACAGTGCAATCCCTCAGGCAGATTGTAAGTGAAAGCTTTCTCTGCCCTCCATTGTCTTTGGTTGCATTTATTTGCAGTGTGGCCCCAATCAACTCCCTTCATGCTATCGCCTGTCACTTTCTCACCTCTTTTACCTGGGCTTTCGTCTTTTCCCTGTAGAAGCAGGCTTGAATTTAACTCCATACAAATAAAGTATCAGGAGCTGTAGCATTCTGCAGCTTGGGCCTTCCCTCTCTAGAAACGTAGGTTCTCGTTTTCAGAGGTGCCGAGCATCCATAATTCCAGATGAAATTTATAGGATCTGCAACTTGGCCTCATCGCTTTTGAAGATCAGAGTGTCTGTCCTCTTCAGAACACACCTCATCTCTTCTAGCTTGAGCTCCTCCTAGACTATAGACACGCTACATAGCTAATGCCCCAGCCGGGCACTGGGGCTGCTGAGCTTAGTAGCCTGGGCACACTCTGTAGTGATCCTTTTGGCAGTGGCCAGGAAGACAATGCGAGTGATGCTGATCGTTCTGGTTTCCTGCAGCAAGAGGGAATTTCCCCATGCTCCTCACCAAGTTAGACTGGTTCAGTACTGCTCAGCCCATCCTTATTTAGTTATAAAAAAGAGGTGTGTGTCTGAAAACCCTGGGTGTCCCGCTGCGTTAGCCGAACATATCAACTACTTGCTAACCAAGCATCCACTCCCCAACAGCCCCAGCAACTCCCCGGTAGCAGACCAGATCAGAACGCCCACTCGTCATGCAAATCTTCAGCTCCATCAAGTGCCTTTCTCAAAAGACTTGGCTCCATACTAGCTGATAATGACCGACCTCAAAGGCCAGAGTGAGTTCAGAGCCTTAAGATCACATGTCATGGTGAGGAGGGATGTGCATGTACGCATGCAAGCATATCATAACAGTATATTGTGATGGACTCAGGCCAGAAGGATAGAAGAGGGTAGTGGAAGGCAGGTATATCAGCCTCAGAATGAGCAGAGCCCTGTTCCCTGGATAGCCAAACAAGGGCTACTCCAGGCCAATCAAGACACCTGACGCCAATTTAGCAAGTTAAGGTCGTTAGGCTAATGCCGGCACCTGACCTCAATTAACTGACAGAGGGTCAGGTAAGACTGTTAGGCTAATGGAGACAGCTGGAATCAATTTAGGTCCCACTTATACTGCTTTAAAAGCTCTCCTTTCCAGTTCTCTCGGGAGAAGCCCGGGTGGAAGGAGCTGGAGGAGAGGAAGCATTACTGTACCCTGAGGTAAGGGTGAAGCTTGGAAAAGGGGACCACGGGGAAGTGGCCCAGGGAATCAAAGCAGCGTCAGTGGAGGAGGGAAGCCGCTAACAGCTGCTATCATTAGGGTCCCTGGGCTGGAACCCGGAGTAGAGGGCAGGCCCGGGTTCCCCCCTTTCTCCCCCCCTCACCCCCCCCCTCATGATCCACAGAGATCCCTTTGAAAGGGGAAACAGACTTGGATCCAAGCAGGAGACCAGACTGTGCCTAAGGAGCAACAGAGACTGTGGGTATTCCTCCTTCCCACCTCCCATACAGGCCTGTGACGAAAGTAGCTCAATAATCTGTAACCTTTGCCGCCTTACTGGGAAAGGGAGGTCATACTGAGGGCCTCAGCGAGCTTCTGAGGCCACTATATCCGCCAGGAAGTGCGGGACCCACCAATACAGGCTTGGAGCTTTGTCACAATATTTATTAAGTCAGGTCATTATTAGTAATGATTACTCAGGTGTAATCACAGAGTTGCACAGCACCTCACAGAACAAAGACCAGCTCTGGGCCTGAGTCTCCCCTCTTTACTATCAGATCAGAAGGACTACACAAAAAGAGGGGTATTTTACACCCATTCTGCACAGGAATACACAACTGCATAAGGCATGGAGAATCATGCCCAGAGCCCCTGCCCCCAAAGAACACCAGCAGGAAACAACAACACAAGGGGTTCTAGGACAGAGAAGACAAATGCACCTTTGCATCAGAGGGAAATGCAGTGTTGGGTTTTGCGTTTTTTATTCTCTCTGTTTTTTGTGAAGTTTCTGTCACCTTGGACTTTAGGCAGTTAAGTTAGAGCTAATGTATGGTATTGGGCCTCAAGTGACACGGATTGCAGATGTCTGGTGCTCTCTAACCTTGAGTTTCTAATAATTATCACAAAAAGCTTAAATTTGCCAGTGAGAGGAACTTCAAAAATTTGCCAAAATGGTTTGTATGTCTCTGTGGCAGCCATTGTCTTCCCCTCCTCCCCCTGGATCATTGCAGGTGCCACTTGCACTGCCCATCTTCCCCCTTCCCTGGACCAGCACGCCCATGACCTGTTTCCCACCAGTCACCCAACCCAGCAGTGTTACTAGACAGGCACAACAGGGAGAAACAGGTGAAAGGACTTTCATGGGAGACCATGCAGGGTAATGGATTAGGCTTGGGGTGAGGACTCAATCATTGGTTTTGGTACTGAATTGTTATATGACCTTGAGCAAGTCACTCATCCTCTTTGAGCCTCCATTTCTTCATTTGTACAAAGAAGCTGCTAATCTTGTGGAACATGGTTACATGTTGGAAGTGTCAGGGTCAATGGCGTGGAACTAGAACTCAGGAGTTCACAGCTCCCAGCACTGAGCTCAAGCCACTTAGACGATGTTGATTTTCGGGCACCCCACCACTCCAGGAGAAGAGAGCTTATGAAGCATGTGCCATGTGTGCTCTGGGACTTCCATGGAACTCCTGACGTGCATGTGAGCCACTAAATGTCCACTAATGAGCCGAAGGACCCACCTAGGCTGACAATCAGTAGTTTATAGACCAGTCCATGTTTGGAGTGATCTGATGGAGGCCCTAGCTTTGTGGGCAGACTGACTGCCTCTTCTATTCCTTCTTAGTGCCGGATGGCCCGAGTCCAGTGTCTGGAGCTGATCCTCTCTCTCCTTCCTGCACATATTCAAAGCTATATATTATTCATGGTGACTGGCTTTGTTAAACGGTCCTAACTAAGCAGTTGTTGTGCACCTTGCAGTGCCTATTTTTATATACATTTCATTTTGTTCTCATCATGTTTTCAGTGTGCTGTCGATTTTATATTGAATATATGTTCATTGTACAGATTTATCCAGGGGGAGCAGGGTAGGAGTCTGTTGGGTTTTGGGTATCTAGGAAGATGTGGAGATGGTTTGGAGGTGGGATGGTTGGGGTTGTGTGGAATAAGCACACTAGCTGACTGTTTCTCATGAAAGCATCAGTACTGAAATAAAGTTGTCATTAGGTTTCACAGTGAACAAGCTAGTGATATTAATGAGGCAATTCATATCTTCTGGAGTATGGTTTCAGGCTGCCTGCAAACCCCAAAAAAGGATACTATCTCCGTTTATATTCAGCCCACATTGTTATAGGTTTCCTCACAACCAACAGACTAGAAACATTTCTCTTGGACTGACATCAACTTGACAGCATTTCTCTGCTTGTCTGTCTGGAAAATGATAACTTTTGAATGCCAAAGCTACGCAAGTCCAAAATTTTAGGAAATGTTCTAGTTATCAATGGGCAGATCCCTGTTGAATTGGGGGGGGGGGAATCAGAAAATCGAAAGAGGGAAATGTGGGACACAGAGCCCCTGACATCTGGTCACTAGAACGATCAGCTTAACTATGTCTGTGATTGTCTGTACATCACAGATCTGTTGTTAGAGAAACAAAACGGGTGAGGTAATAGCTTTTGTTGGACCAACTTCTGTTGGTGAGATGGACGCGCTTTGGAGCCACACGGAGCTTCTATGGGTCTGAGGCTGAAGAAGGGCTCTGTGTAGCTCGAAAGCTTGGTCAAATAAAAGCACTAAAGATGTGCTAAAGATTCATACGTCCCTTCATGCTTCAGCCACCATTCTAGGGGACACGCGTCCATGCCGATGTCGGGTTCTGCTCGGTAATGATCCAAAGCAGTGTGGACCAAAGCATGTTCGTTTTCATCATTTGAGTTAGATGCTGTGATAAATAAAGTGGGGGGTAGCTCCCTTTGATGGACACCCAGCCAGCCCGTTAACTGTAAAATCCCTCTTGGTAGCTGTTCTCTACTTGCTTTACCTGTAAAGGGTCAAAAAGTCCCCCAGATTATTAAAAAAAAAAAAAAAAGTAAGAGCACTTGACCAAAAGAGCCAATGGGAAGGCTAGAACTTTTTAAAATTGGGGAAGAAACTCTCTCTTTGTCTGTTGTTCTCTGGGCTGTAGGGACACAGAGCAGCAGTGCTATACGCAGGAATGCTGTGTAAGGTTTGAACCAGGTATGAAAAATTATCTACCATACCTAGAAGGAATCATTTGGATAGGGAATGTTTAGATAGACGCGATCAGATTTATTTCTTTATTTTGGCTTGTGGATCTCCTCTGGCTAACCCCAGATGCTTTTGTTTGCTTGTAATCTTTAAGATGACCCCCAAGAAAGCTATTTTGGGTGCTTAAATTTTTTGAATTGCTCTTTTTAAAAATCTAGCAAAAGGTGTATTTTTATTTTCTTCATTTTTGTTTTTAATAAAACTTACCTTTTTTAAGAACAGGATTGGATTTTTGGTGTCCTAAGAGGTTTGTGCATATGCTGTTTGATTAGCTGGAGGCAACAGCTAATTTCCTTTGTTTTCTTTCTCAGCTCTTCCCCGGAAGGGGTGTGTGAAAGGGCTTGAGGGTACCCCAGAAGGAGGAATTGCCAAGTGCTCCTTCCTGGGTCCAAAGGTTTTTTTTGCATTTGTGTGATGGCAGTGTTTACCAAGCCAAGGTCAGAGACAAGCTGTAACCTTGGGAGTTTAATACAAGCCTGGAGTGGCCAGTATTAATTTTTAGAATCCTTGCGGGCTCTACCTTCTGCACTCAAAGTGCCAGAATGGGGATTCAGCCTTGACAGATGCCACCAGCAGAAGGTTGATTTTCTTTTTTGATGGTTCGGGTTCTGTAGTTTCCACGTCAGAGTGTTGTTCTTTTAAGACTTCTGAAAGCTCCACACCTCGTCCCTCTCAGATTTTGGACGGCACTTCAGATTCTTA